CAGTGTTACTAAACATGGTGAGATTTTGTCAATAATACACCAAGCGAATCATATTGTTGGCTTATTGTGGTTTTGTTTGAAATTATAATTTTGTATGTGGTTATCATAAAATCTGGTTTATCAAAAAATACTTTATATATATATATGTATATATATATATATATATATATATATATATATATATATATATATGTATATAAGTCAATTATTAAAAATATATTTTTAAAATTTTAATTAATAAATGACTAACTCAATTTATTATTATTTTTTTTTCGAAATTCATTCAAACTTTGAATTCGACGTAACTCACAATCGGTTAACTTTAAATCATATCTATTTTTATGATAACCAGATATTTTTATTGTATCAGCTAACTCTACATCCCAAAATGCAGATTAATTAAGCATATTATAGAGATACGCGAGAATAGCTTTAAAACGTTATTATTTTCGCCGTTGTGATATTACTCTGTACAAACGTTAGCCATAACAATAGATTAGTGATGTACATAAGATTGTGTTGAATGAATTGCCTTCAGATGAATAAATATAAGCATGTAGTTAAAGCTGTTGTTTTATTTTTTATCCTTTAACTTTTTGTAGTTTTAACGGTTTACATGTTTGTAGTCCAGTTATGGGTGTTTATATTTATAATATTACTAGCGACTCACCCTCGCCCCATTCGGGTTCGTCTCTACTTACGTTTTAACTTTTAGCATAGATACCTCAGAGATGAGATATTTTCCCGCAATAAAAAGTATCTTATATGTTTGTTTACTCGGATAACCAGCTATCATCATACCAAATTTCATCAAAGTCTATCCAGTGGTATTCCCGTGATGCGGTATCAGACAGACAGACAAAAATTCTAAAAACTATAGATTCGACCTCTGTATCGATAATAAATAATAAGTAGTTATTTTAGATAATTGGTTGTGTCCTAAATGTCATCCAAAATCGGTTGTTTCCTAATAACTAGCTCTTAACAAATTATGGTAATGCAAGTGCTTATTAGACACTAATGGAGTTTGTTTAAATTCGGGCTTTTTTCTATACATCAATTGTTACTGGCTTCTAAAGTTTTTTTAAGCTAGTTTTTCTCGCAGCCCACACATCGTATGTCGATGAAAAGAAATTTACGTTAATATACCGAATATATTATATTTTATAATCTCTTATCTAATGTTAGTGCAAATAACAAATTAAGTGGTTTCCGGAAAGAAGAAGCGGTAGAAAAGTTAACTTTTCGGTTATAACAAAATTCTGAGTCGAATTTGTACATTAAATATTTTTTGGAAAATCTTATTAAAATAGTCATTATCGATACAGAGGGCAAATCTATAGTTTTTGGATTTTTGCTGTCTGAGAACGTATTACGAGAAAACCAGTGGACAGATTTTGATGAAATTTGGTATGGTGATAGCTGGATATCCGGGTCAACTTATAGGATACTTTTTACTGCGGGAAAATACTTAGTTTCTGAGAAATCTTTATATGTAAACTTAACATTGAATCGTATCTAGGGACAAACCCGAACGGAGCGAGGGTATGTATAATAATAGACTAAAGTCATATTTTACAATTTATTTCAATGGTTACAACAGATTACATACACGGACGGCAAATACATTCACTTACAACATAACATTGAATAAATTACACCTGAGCTTAAATAACTTACAAAAATATTTTGGTTAATAGATTTTGGTAGAAGAAAGAGGCACTAGAACTTGAAAAAATAATTTTTACATTAATATTTTCCATTTATACATTTGAAGCAAATATAATATATTTTAACTGACTTTTATATCATAAAAATATCAACTAGCGCCCGAAATAAAGATATAATTATAGAATTTTTAAGTAACTTTGCCTTCATATAATGCTAATGAAACCAGAAGCTTTCATTTTAAGGACAGTCTCATCAAAATTGATGTAGTCGAAATGGATAATAAGTCTATAAACATATAAAAACAAATCTTCGCATTAAAACAAAATTTCACCCATAGAAATCGAAGGACCGGTCGTCAGTGGAAAAGTGACATAACATGAATTTTCTAAATATATATAAATATGACATAGCATTACATAAGTCACACGTCTATTTAATTGTATATCTGATGAATGCTATAAACATACATACTTCGCAAATAAATTATTTACATTATCGTATAAAAAATTTAGTTTTATGCCATAATACTTTCTTAGATTTACGCGAATATGTTTATATCATTTTAAATAAAAACTATCTTTTCGGATTATTTCGCGGATTTATACTTTACAGCAATCATGGTATCGGGAGAGACTTTTATGCCACTTTTGCACTGAAAACCTTATTTTAATTACAAACACCTTGCCCTCATGTCCTTTTAATACCATAGCGGCACATGTCTAAATTCTATGCATTAACAAAAATAAATACAACAATACTTACAAAACTATCACAATAAATTCACTATTTTGAGCACATCATTGCATTTTACTCGTACATTTTATCTTACATAAAGCATTTAAATAATTAAATATTGCAATTCATAATCAATTTTCCGTTAAAATATATTAGCGAATTGAGGATAACTAATTTGCTTTACAAAAAACAAAGTAAAAATAAATAAAATATATCATCGATTAAAAATCTGCAATATTTAACAGTCATTTGAATAAACTAAAGAGTGACAAAAATGACGTCTAACGATGTTTCTTTGGGATATACAATGTCTAATTAATTATTATAGCTATTTACAGATATCACTAAATATAGACAGTAAGTCTTTATATATATAATTTTTCCTACTTATTTACAATACCATCAACGGGCATCGAACCTGTATCATCGATTACACATAAACTCCTTTCAATTCAACTAAAAATATTCTTTAAAACAACATGAAATCGACTAACAATAAGTACTATCATACATTAAAAAATCTCAGACTAAACGAATAAGACAGAAATACAAAAAATGTCAAAAAATATTTAACAAACAGACGATTAAGCCTGCTTTATTAATGTAACTTATTCTTATTTAGCTTCGACTACATTTTATACTTTACATACTCAATATGAATGCACTGTTTCGACCATTAAATTAGTTTTGTATTCTTGAAAAATAAACTTATTATTAGAAATCTGAAAACGAGGATATATTTTCAATATTTATTTAATTAATTTAATTTCATATAATATAATAAAATAATAAAAATTATAACATAATATAAATTTAAAGAAAACTTAAAACCTTTGAAAAAAAATCACAAAAGAAAGAACTCAACAGATTATAAAATACAATAAAAAACAAAATTAATGCCAGCATAATAATCAAAACAGTACAACTTTTTTAGACACTAGATACAAATATTAACAGATATTACAAATTGTTTTAATATTAATTATCTAATAAATTTATAATGCGCGTCAACAAGTGTTTTATTGATTTTTAACAAAGCTTTCTCTTCAAAAGCTCCTATATTTTTTTTAAATAATATATATTTCTTATGCAATTCTGAAACTTTGGCACTATAAATACTAATCTCCGTCTGAATCTAAATTTACTTGTACTTAAAAAAAACTAGTTTCTTTATGGTTATTGAAACTGGAAAATTTCAAACTACATACATAATTATACACAGAGATAGCAGAAACGAACGTTTAAATTTTAACAAGTTTTAATTCATTTTCAATATATAATATTATTTAGAATTTAGAAAGAAGTCTTGAAGAAACTAATTTTAATTGAAGTATTTAAAAATATAATTACAGAGTGACTGACATTATATGTATACAGTTATGACATTAGTTAGAAAGGGAGGTCCAATATCATTCTACCTTTCTATCATCTCTTCTAAATTAGAACCCAATCTGTATATTACCTATGGATTTAAAATAAATACTGTAATATTTTTTTTAAATAATAACTTTTTTTAAATTTTATATACACATACTAGAAGAGATACACCTTGAATGACTTTATAGTTTTATAATAATAATTGAAACTTCATAAACGTCCTAAAGTTAATTCATTTTGGAATGTTGCGTTCTAAAGTCTTCTTACTCCACCAACTCACAACGAAATACTAAAGTTTTTTGAGAATAACCTTTAACAATTATCACTTTTTCTATTGGCTTTGTTTGTTTGCTCAGCCACATTAATCCGTAATCTGAAAAAAAAATTAATGATGTGTTAATAAATCCACTTTTTATATTAAAACTAGCAACTTTAGGTACGTTTTAAATAGATAATGAAGGATGGTACGATAGATAAATGATGATATGATGTGACATAGAATAAGGAACTGTAAAAGTGTCAATAGACTGAGTTATTATTTTCATAGTGCTTTTACATGTCGAAAAATATCTGTTTAATGTATGAGAAAATACTGAAAGAATCTTAATCAACAGGCAGGATTTAGCTAAATTGCTAAAATAAAATAAGATGCAAGTATGCCATAGGACATGGGATGGTAATAAAAATGAGTTATTAAATATCATGATAGAAGATAGTGACGCATAGAGTTCGACAGTGAAAAGTGACGCGGAAGAAAAACCCGTTATATTTGAAAGTGACTAGTGACAGTAACAGATGGTCGTATCACATCAAAGGAGTACCGAACAATTTCCCTCTATGTATCTTATACTCTGTGTCAATGGCAAAGTAATCTATGCTCAACTGGCACGATTTGAAGTCATTAACGAATTTTTTTTTGGATAAATTAACAAGTAATGCGGAACAGTGACGCATAACGTTTGACATAAATAAGTTCCACGGCACAGTAAGAGATGCAATTCAATTCAATTTTCTAAGCTTCACAGCGTGCCATTATTGACCACCAGATTACACTGCAAATATCACGTAAAATAAAAAATAAACATAAAGGAGATTGGTACAATATATCAAATATCAGGGACACATAACGTCATTAACAATTGTCATGACACATGACATTGACGTGTGACAGATGACGCGTGACGCACCGGGTACCGGGCGAGCGCGGGCAGCGGTCACGGCGGCGCGGCGGGCTGGCGGCAAGCGGCGCAGGCGCGCGACGCGGCGCTGTAGCGCTCCACCTGCAGCGTGGCGGCGGCGGCGCGACGGCGCGCCTCGCGGCGGCACGCGCGCAGCACGCGCTCCCAGTCCGCCAGCTCGTCGATGGCGACGTGCGCCGACAGCACGGTGTGCTGCGAGCTCAGCGCCCACGCGTGCACCGAGTGCACGTCCCGCACGCCCGGCACCGCCGCCAGCGCCGCCACGCACTCGCGGTATCTGACACAGACATACACATACATCACGGTGGAGCGTAAACAAAATGTTTTGTTCTTATCTTGGGGGTAGAATTTGTAGGTTATAAAAAAAACAAAATTAAACAATAAATGTTTACTCAACATATTAGAGTTGGCCCACGGATTTTTAAAATAAAGAATATATTAAATGTTTGGTTTAAATGAACATTTTTATACCTTTGAAAACATTCAAGAATTGACGAATATAATCATTTTCTTCTCAACTTTCACTATAATACAAAAAAGTAACATGTAACTTTTTCAACTTTTTTTAAATTATGCAATAATGCTTTTTTTTAAATTACAATGAAAATTGGGTAGGAAATTACTAGATTCGTCAATTCTTGAATGTTGTCCAAGATGATGAATAAAAAAAATTCCAATCAAACCTCAAAATGTTAGTAATTTTTTTTGTGTCAAACAATTTTGTTCTCTTATAAGCTTATTCTACCACTAAGCTAAAAAAATAAGTTAGTAAAAAATTAATAATACATTACAAAGCTGAAATATAGGTTTAAGTAGCCATGGAAGGGCCAAGGTTTCTTGCTACAGGTATTCTTTACAGTTAAAACTTAAAAGGCGATTTTAACCTTGTCTGTAATTTTTAAACATATTGTTAATTAATAAAGTATTTTTATATATTTATTTAAATCACTAGATTTCAAAAAGGTAAGCCAATAGAAATAGACTTATATATGAACCAGTCGCCACTAATAGCCAGTCTCAATGAGATCGTCCACCGTGGCCACCGCCTGCCAGAGCACATAGAGCTGGCGTGTACTCACTTGAAGTCGCTGGGCACGGCCTGCATGAGCATGAGCAGCGCGTCGCGCACGACGCGCGCGGACGTGGCCAGCACCAGCACGCTGAACACGAACGTGCAGATCGGGTCGATCACCTTCGCCTGCGGCTACCGGGAGGGGGGAGGGGGTTACTGATGATGGTAATAAAGAATATTTTGACACACAGCACCATCTAGTTCCATGGTAAGCTACGAGGCTCGTGTTATGGATACCTGATAATTGATACACTATACATATATAACTTTAAATACATACAATATACATATATTATAAATATAAACACCCATCACTGGTGTATAAACATTTGTGCTCATCACATAGTGATGATGGTGAGGTTGCTTTGTAATTACACTACTATTAATGCCTATGTGTATCATGTTTGTGTGTGTGTGCTTGCGTACGTACGAGCGTGGGTGTGTGCATGCATGCGTGAGCGACATACACACACCATACAAAATTTCGCAAATACTTTATAACATTAGTGTGATTGTGCAGATAAGGAAGTGCATTAATAACATTTTGCGTCGTCACGACAACATCAGGACAAAGATTATTTATTTTTATAATAATTTATTTTATAAATTAGTGATTTTTGTAGTTTTTTAATGTGCCACCACATTTTATATTTTTATACCAAATCAAGCACTGAACCTATGAACACCAACCAGTTTACCAAGTTTTTTTTTTATTTATCTTTTATTTTAAATAATTTTAAATTTTAACACAACTTACATAAATTTTAATAAGTACGGCGGCGAGCAGTACACCACAACTCTGTATGAGATCTCCAATCACATGGACGAGGGCTGCACGGAGGTTTATATTTCTGAAAGGTATGATTTAAAATATAATAATATAATATAGCATCCTAAATATAGTTTTTACAGGGTTTTATATTTATTAATAGAATTTTGAAACCAGTTTAAATTGAGCTAAGTAAAAGTTTAAAATTTAAAAAATGTAATACAGTAAACGGTTAAACGGTTAAAATTTAAAAATTGTGAATTTTAATCAGTTTAGATCTTCTCCATACACTTTTGTGAAAACCATGTGTCATATTTAGTCTATTTTACTGTTTACTGTTTCATAATTTATTTAGAAATTAATTTTTCGAGATCTTACACAATATGTACAATCTTTGTTTTAAATCCATTTAAAACAGATGATAACAAGTGCTAGATATATTCTATGTGTATGAAACAACCATAGGACTCTGTTAGCCGACATCGTCCTATGACCCCATTAGATAAAATATATGTACCTACATATATTTCATATGTGTAAAGAAAAAAGTTAGAAACAATAAAATTGAAACAAAACAACTGTGAAGTTTGAAATTAAAAATCAAAATGCGAGAGGTCTGAGGCCTTTGTCCTTAAACCAGCGCTACGAAGGAAATAAAGGCACTCGCCGCAAAAACTTGGTAACACCATCGTCTTAACGAGCACCTACATTCGTATATAACAAATCGACTGAATGCCTCACAAACCACTAAAAAGACAAACACAGCGACATCTTACCACATTCATAAAATCAACTAATCACATAAACACCATAAGATCTCACCTGGCAGTGGACCCCGTCACACGAGCCTCAGTGCTCGACAGGTCCTTCATGGTGTAGTCCCCATTGACCAAAGCCCCGTTGCTTTGCTTCTGTTCCCTTCTGAAGAAGCGGAACCTACGAGGCGGTTCCGAGGCGTGGGTGCACGCTGCCCCACCGTGTGTGTGGTGGTGGGCTAATGAAAAATATAATAAATAAGAAAATATGTCTTTTCAAACCAATGCTGTCATTGATTTTGCTCTATGATTTCATAGAAGGAGGAAGGAAGGAAAGAGAAACGTTTCATAGGGTTACCACTTATCATTATATATAGAACACGCATCGAGTTAGGCAGCGTCTAATAAAACATGCGTTAAACACGGTTTTTAACCGGCTTCCAATTCCAAAAAGGAGGAGCTTCTCAATTCGTCGGAATCTTTTTTTTATGTATGTTCACCGATTACTCGAAGACGCCTGAACCGATTTGGATTTTTTTTTGTTTCATAGGGTACAATTTCCCAGGTGGTTCTATATAAATTTTATCGAAATCGGTCGAGCGGTTTTTAAAAAAATCAACAATAAATTTAATTTTAAATAAATTGTTTAATCGAATATGTTATTAAAAAACTTTCTTCTTACAAATTATCTGCTCATTACGTCTACACTAAAATGGAAAAATAAAAACTTTTTAACAAAAAATAAAAACCGACTTCCAGGCACTAAAATGTAAAAAATAACTAAACGGAGGTTTTCATTTAGAATAGATAGAGCCTACAATATTTTAAGATATGAATGTCTAATAGATAAATATGTATTTTACGTATCGAAATATATTAGATTTGCTTTGCATCGCTGGCACCGACTTTAAAAATCTGATTAGGTATCGATTCTAAATGAAAACCTCCGTTTAGTTATTTTTTACATTTTAGTGCCTGGAAGTCGTTTATTATTATTTTTTGTTAAAAAGTTTTTATGTAGTAACAGAAATTACATGTTTTTTGTTTAACTAAACTTTATTCATTTAAACAGGCGTTGAACCTTTGTTTTAAATTTTTTCTGTGGTAAGACCGTTCACCTTAACTCTTCCTCACGCACTTACTACACTGTTTCCCTTTAAGCCAAATTGATAATTCAAAAGTCTAGTTAAATTTCATTTCGTTCCCAAATCAAACCCCCACTCACCTATATCGGAAGCGCACCCATGTAGTACTAAAGCCAGGATAATGTTGAACACCACTCCACAGCCAGACACCACCATCATCATGTCGGGCTCGATGTTGTAGTCGCCCGTGTGTATGCGCAGCGCGGCGACGTACACGAACACACCCGTCAATGCCCATATAAGGAGCACTGACGCCATTGCGCCCAGCACCTCTGTGAAACGTTATATTTATAAGTCAACACATATTTTTGTCACTTGAAAAATGATAAAACTTTAAACTGCTAGTCTGTAATATATTACCCACTACAAAACTAAGCTTCAAAATAACCCAAAATAATTATTCCATACCATCCTCTTAACTATTGTTTTTAATTATATAGAATTCTTAATTTAAGGCACCCGTAATTAGTCTTTCGTTAAAAAATTAATTATGATTTTTTTACAGTTAGCAAAGGTATCGTAGGTAAGGTAGCACGTATGCACGCAGAAGAAATATACAAAAAGTCAAAGTCGGTTCGATTAAGTTCAAATGAGACGCCCTAAGCTCTAGTGAGAAACAAAAGAAAAACCAGAAAATTATCAATCCCAATTTCTATATATCCAAAACATCTCCAAAATACAGATTATCTATACATATAATAAAATTGTAACTAAGACGAATCTGTACATTAAATATTTTTTTGAAAATCTTATTGAAATAGATGAATTGAATTATCGATACAGAGGCCGAATCTATAGTTTTTAGAATTTTTGTCTGTCTGTCTGTCTGTCTGTTACCGCATCACGAGTAAACCACTGTACAGATTTTGATGAAATTTGGTATGATGATAGCTAGTTATCCGGGTCAACATATAGGATACTTTTTATCGCGGGAAAATATCTCATTTCTGAGAAAAAAAAACAAAACTGCATGTAAGAGTATATTAATATGTAAAACCTAAGAATTTGGTTTTTGGTCATCTGACCGCGAGCGGAGCTGCGGGCAATGCTAGTGGTATTATTCAAGACATAAAGTGGATTTACCCTATCCCCTAGTGCTTTATAAATTATAATACATTTATTACGATAAGAGATTAAATAAATTCTACTATTCAATATAGACAAGTTATAAAATTGATAACGTATTATCATTATTGATGAAACTAGCTTTTCACCGCGGCACCGCAAACTAAATGTAGCGTGCGTACATTTCAATATTTTAAATAAAAGGATCTTTTTTTAAAGCATTTTTAACTAATTAAAAATGTTTAAAATAAAAATTAACAAATATTGTAAGGTATTTTTGTGTAATTTTTGTATTTTTTGAATTCATTTTGTTATTTTGTGGGTAGGCTGTCTGTAACAATTACCTATATAATGCCTTTGATACGTCTAAAGTTAGTCTCTCCCGTGACCATGATTGCTGTACTATGTAAAGCATTCCCGAAACGTCGGGAACGAAACATCAAAATAAATCCGCGAAAAAATGCGAATTATTTAAAAAATATTCGCGTAAATCTAAGAAAGTATTGAATTTCAATATTTCTATATTTTTTATTTAATATATTTTGTATGTATTTTAGAAATGTAAATTAAAGTCACGGGCAAAATAAAAGGCCTGAAAAAAAAAAACGCACTGGCCAAGTGCGAGTTGGCTGACTTCACATATCTTTCAAAATTTGCTAGGTTCGCGCAGGTTTCCTCACGATGTTTTCCTTCACCGTAAAGCAAATTGTAATTATATAGGAAATGATTCGCATGTGAAAATATTAGAGGTGCGAGACCCAATATTTGGACCAACTTCCCACAGTTTCCCAAGCGAGCGTGTTACCACTGGGCTTAATAATATTCCTGCCTTGCCTTGCCGTGACGACACGGTTGACTCAGTTGGTAGTGACCCTACTTGCTGTGCCAGCGGCCGCTGGTTCGAGTCCCGCTGGGGGCATTCATTTGTGTGATGAGCACGAATGTTTGTACTCCAGTCATGGGTGTTAATATTTATAATATGTATGTATTTAAAGTTATATATGTGTAGTGTATCAACTATCAGGTATCCATAACACAAGCCTCGTAGCTTACCATGGTACTAGATGGCGCTGTGTGTTATTGTCCCAACATAAAAAAAATCTAGTAATAGTCTAATAATCTAGTAGTAGGTAGTATATAAACTTCCTTAATAAATTGGCCATAGAATACAAAAACATTTCGTCTAACTGGTAGTTTAAGAGATTTACGCATTAAGGAAACAAAAAAAATCATCAGGTACAAAATGTTTTGATATAGATAACACATTGAGAAAATGTAGGTACCACGTGAGTTTTTGTAAACTGTTTTTCCCTGATAATTAATATTAAACTATTAACTGCCTCGGTGGTGTAGTGGCTAGCATGTACGGCTGCACGCCCGGAGGTCCTGGGTTCGAGTCCCGAGTCGGGCCAAGTTAAGTTATTAAGTCTTTCTGTATATTACCAGCAGTGGGAGCTTAAATCTACATTATTGTGCAATACAATATCAGGACTTAGGAGGATAGGATCATTGCTATCAGGAATAACACCAAACTCTTGTTTTATTCTGGTTTTAACTAGTCAAATAACTGACTTATATTTTTTACCGACTTCAAAAAAAGGAATTCGGTTATATTATTTTCGTCATTATTATTTTTAATCTATACTAATATTATAAAGAGGTAAAGTTTGCGAGTTTGTGACGTAGTAGGGGGTAATCTCTTGGATCTACTGAACCGATTTAAATGAAATTTGGTAAGAAGATAGTTTGCCACCCTGGGAAGGACATAGGATACTTTTCAACCCGGAAATCATCCCTTAAGGGGGTGAAAATGGGGATGATAGTTGGTATGAGGAACCAAGCTAGGGACGAACCCGAGCGAAGTGCAAAAGAATGTCATAGACAAAAACGAGTGTTGTAATAAATTAGACGCTAAGCCTAATTTAACACTCTGCTAAGCTAACACGTTTACATGACGATATTGAAATGTTACGCAAATGTTAACTCGTCACGATAATCTGTACACCGATCTATGCAAACAAGCCAATACTAGATTATCAATTTAATTAGGCTGTGGCCAGTTGTATAAACAGCAGATTAATTAAATTGGCAATGATGAAGTGTAAATGCATCTAAATAATATGTTTAATAAAGTAAAAACCTTTAACCGGGCAATAAAAAAAAACACATATTTTTGTATACCTACCTACTAATAAAAATACACACATAAATATAACTTTCTTACTATTTTGTCGTCTCTTCAGTGATGATTTGCCGTAAATTATTTGATTTCTGGACGTGAAGGGAAAAAAATGTAATAAAATCGTGGAAAAAATCCGAAAAAAAATTTGTGTAATTTAAAACTTAACCTAAATAAAGGTTTTTTTACTATATTTATAAAAAAAATACAAAAAAATATTAATCAATCGTCCCATCGTCATGCGGGCACTTCTTATACCTTGAGAATGTACAACTGTCAAATGCAAAGGGAATGAATACCTTCAACAATGAGCTACACCAATAGTAGGTATTTATTTTGTTACTGTAAAATATTCTTTTGGGCAAAACAGCTTAAGACGAGTTACATGTAACTAACTTTACCTCCAAAATCAAAATATACATTTACAGCACTTTTGAATCGTCAATTTTATATTTTTATATTTAAATTAAATTTCAGTATGTAAGTCCATGAGGACTCTACTTCTAGAGGTAGTGATGATGATGATGATGTTCTCCTAGCCGATTCCGGCCACGGCGGCCAATCTCATTGAGACTAGCCAACTGCGCAGGAGATATTATAGTGCACAAGTGTACGCGCAGACACAACGTGCACTCTCTATTCCTGTCACTCTCATACTCCGGAAGTAGTAGTTCGGACTCAGAACCTAACACCACATGGTGCACAGCCTTGATCCTAGATCTAAACCGAAGAGCACGCAAAAACTTCCATTATTGTGTAATCACAACATGAAGCCACACATTTATTTATTATCAGTCATAAACTGATTATCAACAACATTTGGCACAATCTGTTATCAAATCGTATACATACATAGATAACATCTACTTTATATTACGCCGTGTTTTTCAATTAAATTATGAATTCAATAGAATTTTAATTTACTTACAAAATTAAATTAAATTGATAAGTTTGTTTCATTGTTTCTTTGAAACTCGGTACTACCGATTAGATTTGAAAAGTTCTATAATATGTTTTTCATAACATATATTATTACGTTTTAACGTTTAGCATAGATTTCTCAGAGATGAGATATTTTCCCACAGTAAAATATATCCTATATGTTGACCCGGACAACCAGCTATCATCATACCAAATTTCATCAAAATCTGTCCAGTGGTTTTCTCTTGATGCGTTCCCGGACAGACAGACAGAAAAACAGACAAAAATTCTAAAAACTATAGATTCGGTCTCTATATCGTTCCTAATGTCTATTTCAATACGATTTTCCAAAAGAATATTTAATGTTTAATTTCGACTCAGTTGAATTTTATTATATGTATAGTCTAATGATTTATTAAAAAGGGAATTCCGCGCAAAAAATTAAAACTCCGCTAACAAAATCCGCGTACCAAGAGAAAGAAAAGCTTTCGAGCGAAGCGAGTTTAGTTTAGAATTTAGTCTTACTAATTGCATACAAACGGTTTGTTTGTTCAGCTGTTCTCAGAGCTGCGCTTTGTTTACAAGTTAAATAAACGATAAATAACATATATAGCTCTAAAACTCTTAACCGGTTAATAGCTCGTTTAGACTTTAGATAGGTACTTACTAAGTAGGCACTTAACTAGGCTCGAGTGGCGTGTGGCGTTTAATTTGAGATATCAAAATTCTAAACTCATAAACAACTTAATTTAATTTCTGTGTTGAGCTATAAAGTAGCTAAAACTGCGGCATTGCATGTATTTAAGTTACTATTTTTTGCACGCGGGTACGCTCATATAATAAATAAAACGCTCATATAACTTTTCTAACTGCCTCGGTGGTCTAGTAACTATCGGCCCCACATCTAGAGGGCCTGGGTCCAAACTTCGATTCCCTGGTAGGGTCACTGTCAAAAAATTCTCTGTAACAGCCCGGAGATGGGAAGTTGGCGGTGTTTCACCCCTTTGCTTCGGAGCGCACGTAAAGCCTCACTGTCGAGTAGGGAACCCAGCGGAGTATGGGAGTGACAGGAATAGATATCTCATGCGGAGATGTCAGGTCAGGAGGACATTATTATCTCCTCCCAACGTTTAAAAAAAGGAGGACATTATTATAACTTTTCTGCTCCAGAGGAGCAAGATTGACCAATTCAAAGAAAGAAAGAAACCAAAATATTCTATATAAATTATTAATATCTATTAATATTATAAAACTGAAGAATTTGTTTTTATTCCTATTAACTTTAAAATCATTCACTAATTAGTACATTAGTCCTCAAAGTATTTCACAAATAAATCAATGAAAGGAATTTAAATGTATAATTAATTTTCTTAATATTTTAGTAAATTTAGAATTTATAAAAGTTCATCATACTCAAAATATAAATAACTAGCGACTCACTATCGCTTCGCTCGGGTTCGTCCCTAGCTTGATTCCCCATATAAACCTTCGTCCCCATTTTCACCCCCTTAAGGAATGACTTCCGGAATAAAAAGTAACCAATGTCCTTTCCAGGGTCTCAAACTATCTTCTTACCAAATTTCATCTAAATCGATTCAGTAGATCCAGAGATTACCCCCAACAACAACGTCACAAACTTTACCTCTTTATAATATTAGTATAGAAAAGCCTCCTAGCCGTCCACTAGCCGCGCGTAATTAACTACGCGTCACTTGAATCAATCGATCGGGACCTTTTTGGTATGACATAACATTTTTAATACTAAATCTAGGGCTACATTTTCTTTTAACATTTGTTATTTAAAAGTACAAAAGGAGACAAAATTAATTCATAGTGTAAAAATTCAGCAAAAAAATTACATTCGTATGAACGCATAGCTGATTTTTGACCGACTACAAATAAAGGGAATTGTTCAATTCTTATGTAGGCATGTTACGCGATATCTTTGACAATTTATACATTTTTGAAATTATAAGTACTTCTTTTGGCACGTTTGATTGTGAGTTGTAACATACGGGATGAAATCTTTAGCTATTTTTGTTCTGTTACGCCAAAGAAGTATAACTTCTTACGTGCATACATAAGTACACATACACGTTTCTTTTATGAGGTTATTTATTTAACAAAAACAATATATTTTTAAATTATTCTACATACGTACACCAATTTGAAGGTTATTATTATAATTATTATTACTCTTATTGATGGCTTTGATTTTTAAAATTTATGTGGTGTTCCCATGTGTTTATGGTATAAATTAGGTACTTGTTACATAAACGAATTAAGAAAAATGTATTTTATTAAATTAAGAAAAAAATATTTTATTATTATATAAATTTATTCATAATAATTAGCAATTGTATTGCATAATATAAATAGGTAATATGTATATATAATCTATCTAGCGTTTTCCTGCGGCTCCACCCGCATAGTACATTAATCACCGACATATACTAAAACCTTCTCCGAAACACGCTGCATCTTATAGTATGAGTATTATTTCGATCGGTTCAGCAGTTCGCAGTATAAGCGAACAAAGAAATCGGCTCTCCATTTATTAGTATAGATATACATATAATAATAACTCAGCTGATAGCTAAAATTTTAATTTATATGTAAAAAAAGTACATAACTCTAAAGAAGAATAAATAATATTAAAGACTATTATATTCTTACCAGCTCTTCTGTAACCGTAGGACATACGAGCCGTGGGGGGTCTCGAGGCACATCTGAAGGCCAGTAACGCCAGAGCAAACCCCCCACAATCACTTAACATGTGGGCGGCATCGCTCATCACCGACAGACTGCCCGCTAGATAACCGCCTACTAGCTCGCATATCTAAAAAGCAGATGAGAATAAATTTATGTATATTTTTATATTAAAAATTCCGTTGTACGTGTGTTCGTAATTTTTCTCCTCTCATATGACAGATTTTGATGATTTTGTATAGCTACTATGGGATGGTTGTTAGCTATAGTTGCAAACGGAAGATGACCCTGATGTCGGATTCAGAATTTTTAATGTTCACACTAAGGTGTGTGGCAGGAAAACGTCTTGTCTATTCGTTACCGGATTGACTAGTCTACTCGTACTTTATAAAAAAAACTGAAGTATCTGGCTGCGGTCTAATAATCTTATAATAATTTAGCCCCTTTAAACGTCCCCCAGCTGGGAACGGGCTTTTCCCTTTTAGGACATTTACACATCTTTCGAAAAACTAGTGAAGGTCTTCTAGACATACAGATAGTTATTAACATTTTTTTTCTAGGTAACAATACTAAAATATTATAACCTAATATTATTACGATCTAACCAAAAAGGCTAATAAGTTATTTAACTTTTAACTTAGTTTTATAAAATAACATATCTAAGAATGTGTCCAATGGCACTTTTCTTATAGTCTCTAGTTAAGGGGAAGACATTTTGTTTTTGTGTAGTTATTAACATGAAAAATAAGTATGTATGTTAAAAATGTTAAGAGATGCTAAACCTACGTTTAAAGCCGTAGCAATTAATTCATTTTAAAAGTTTAAACCATAACTTAAACAAACTTTTAAATTTAAATAAGTTTTGTCTCTTTGTCAGTCGCTGCTAATTACCAAAACGCTGTACCTATTAGAATATAATCTAACAAAATTATTACTCTTTAGACCATAAGCAATAAATAAAAAATATTATAAGAAGCATGCCTAATATTGTGTAAGCTGGAACTCGACTCACACTTGACTGATTTCTTCAAACACATTTTTGAAATAATAACATCCAATAAGCCCCATACTAATTAAGCAATGTTAAAACATAAACAGTAAACAATATTTCCATAATAAACAAACAATTTACATTAGAGCACGTATTCAATATGCATATCACGCTTACGTCGAGACAACAAAGAGTCTATAGAGCTGTGTCGATCGATCGGTTAAATCTTCACGAGAGGGTGGGTATGACGACAGAGGACGTGGTCGGTGCATCATCGTCAAGGTCGTAAAGATTTAATTCACAAATGCACTTTAGTTAGCCAAGTCTAGAAAAACTGAATGAAGTCTAGGTTTAAATTTCATTATTATGACATTACTTTAGATGATGCAGATTTGTTGTTAATATTAATATAATCTTATACATTTAAAATATTTCTGCTGTTTTTGGTCAAGAGTAAAATTTCTTCATACTTAAAATTTATTAAAAATTCGCGGCTCATCCTCGCTACGCTATCCTCTAGGAAAACTAAATCAAATCTATCCCACGAAAACCGTACATTTTTCAGGGATAAAAAGTAACCTAGGTGCTATTCCAAACTATAATCTATCTCTGTGCTAAATTTCATCTAGATCCGTTCAGTCGTTCTGGCGCGATTGAGTAACAAACATCCATCCAAACATCTAAGCTTTCAATTCATTCATATTTCAATTGGTAAGAACAACGACTACTTAGCCCACTAAGTAGTCGTTGGGTAAGAAGGATATAAGATATTCGTATCCCATAACAAATAATAAGTGAGAGAGATGTATACAATTGGGGGAAAATACACAAGTATTTATACCCTTTTGTAGGTGATATCATGATGTGTTTGTACATTGTACATATTATGTCTATGTCCAATGATGTCATTATACACATTGCTTTGTATGGAAATCCCAGAATCCCTAGCGTTGTATCAACATACAAACATTACCGCAAATATATCTTTCTTTATTCTGACACGTGTAAATAATCTAACAAAAGTCTACTAATTCTAAATAAAACCAGCCAAGTGCGAGTCGGATTCGCGCACGAAAGGTTCGGTACCATTATATATAAAAACGCCAAAAAAATCATGTCAACGGAAAAAAAATCACTCGAACCCGCGACCGCTGGCACAGTAAGTAGGGTCACTACAAACTAAGACAAACTTATCGTCAAATTTCGATTATAGTTCGCATTGTGGATAAACGTTTACTTTATGAGATTTTTAATTACATACCATAAAAATAGCACACAGTATAAGTGCAATGAGAAGCTGTGGAACAGCGCTTGGGGGCTCTGGCCTCGTCCAGTGACAGTGATCGTCATTATCTACCGGCGATGTCACAGGTACTTCCGTGTAACTCTCCTGTAACAAAGATAATCATATAAATCTACAGATTCTACAGCCTCCACCAGGTAGCCTTACATTGTGACAAAAAACTTACCACTTTACCTATATGATGAACATAAATTTATATAGCCAATATAAATATTTGCTAATTGCTACAATCGGGACTAGACCTTCGCTGCACAGACAGGTACTTTGCCCATCTATACAAATATTGTAAGGAGTTAAAGTTTGTGAATTGTGAGTTTGTGACGTTATAGGGGGTAATCTATGGATCTGCTGAACCAATTTTGACCCTACATTGCATCTTTCTAATCTCTTTACTGTCGACTTGTTGGTGTGGTCTAAGTAGTTCATACTTCATAGGTCCTGGTTTCGAGTTCAGAACTAGGCTAAGAACCTACCTATGGGTGTCTAATAATTATTGGGTAAGAAGGGTTGTGAATGTAAGCATGATAACTGAAGTAGCGATAAAAAGTGACGTATGTCCTCTGAAATTCAAACTATGTCCTTGCCAAATTATATCAAAACCTGTTTAGCGCTTTAAACTTGAAAACTAACAAGCAAACAAAGAGTTAAAGTTCCTTCACATTTAATAATAATATACTTATTAGTAGGATAGAACATTTAAAAGAGTCAGCTTGCAAATTAATTAATAAAAATCGATTCATTATGTCACCATGCGAGCACAGAAAATTGCTTAATATAAAATTTTTAGTCCCATTAAGTATCGCGTCGGCTAAAATTATTTCATAAATTATTTCACTGATCTGATTTAAGCAGAACGCATTACATCTTTCAGCTCAATGAAGCGAGTATAATTTTGTTATCGATTAATATATTTAATATTCAGTATAACGGATCAATACAGTTCCCGATGACTGGTTTTCATTATCTGATACATTTTATAACCGTATATTTTCTTTACTAGCGACTCACCCTTACTGCGCTCGGGTTCGTCCCTTGATACGTTTTAACGGTTAGTATAGATTTCTCAGAGATGAGACATTTTATCGCAGTAAAAAGTATTCTATATGTTGACCCGGATAACCAGCTATCATCATACCAAATTTCATGTAATATCAAATCTATCAAAATCTTTCCAATAGTTTTTTCGTATGCGTTCCCAGACATACAGACGGACAAAATTCTATAAACTATAGATTTGGCCTCTGTATAGATAATAATAACTATTTCAATAAGATTTTCCAAAATATGTTTACTGTACAAATTCGACTCAGTTATAATTTTATTATATACATACATATAGATTTGTTATAAATCTATCCCATGGGAACTCTTTAATTTTCCAGGATGAAAAGTATCTAAAATGTTGACCGGGGACATAAGGTACCACCATGCAAAATTTCATTTAAATCGGTCCAATAGTTTCGGATATTAGCCCGTACAAACAGACATAGGAACAAAAAATTGAAAAAATCTGGATTTATTCTATTTCTATTTATACATTATATTTATACATATCGACTCTAATTAACATCGTGGAATTCGTTATAGAAAGTGGAAGAAAATTGTCTTAAGTACTGAAAATGTCAAGTTTCACTCAAGGAAATAAAAAAAAATATATTAAAAAAAACTGCATTTAAATCATTTTTAAAAAGGTTCAGAAAATATCGGGAAAATAAATACAGAAAAATAAAAAGAGATGATCGAGATGTTTAATCACAAAACGTACAGACGAAAATAGAACTTTCTCATTTTTTGAAGCCTTTTAAAATTCGTAACGCCTAATATAAACTTAATTAAACAAACCGAGAGACAAAACTTTAGAAGTGACTTTTGTAGTGACCTGAGGTGACTTTTGTATTTATAATATTAAACACAAGTAGCACCACCTTTTGGCAGATTTTATTACTAGCATTAATCTATGTGTTACTCCAGGTCATAAATCTATCAGTGTACTGAATTTCATCCAAATCCGTCCAACCGTTTCAGCGTGAAGGAGTGACAAACACACACACACACACACACACACAAACAAATATTCGCATTTCTAAGAGTAGTGATTAATATAGGTATAATATGTTATTTTGTTAATGTATAGTAATCTTATCTATCTACCTATACAAAAATCGATTTGTGTATGTATGTTCCCTATGAACTCCCAAAACTCCTACTAATATTATAAATGCGAAAGTTTATGAGGATGTATAGATGTAGGTATAGATGTATGGATGTTTGTTATTCTTTCACGCAAAAACTACTGAATGGATTTTAATGACATTTTACAATAATATAGCTCATACATTAGAATAACACATAGGCTACTTTCTATCCCGAAAAAATGTACGATTCCCATGGGATAGATTTGTCTTTGTATTTTTAGAGGCGAACTCGAGCGAAGCGAATTTAAGAAATGTGGAGCGATAAACGTTTTAAGCTTATTATACTCGTAATAAGTGAAAAGTTTTGAAACTTTCGACGTAACAAACTAAGTGAGATGGAAGAAAGATGAATGTCATGTAAATGTGATATCTTAGAAGCATGCGCAAAGTCAGTTTAGGTGATCGAATGCTTAAAATGATTAAAAACGTGCTCAGATGGCATGGACACATACTCGTAGATCGAATGATTGACGTATGAGAATGATGAGATGAGCAGTAGGGGGAGATCTCGGAGGATTTTGAACACCCCCAACCCCTTGATGGGAAGAGAATATTTAAGAAAGAATTTATATATTTATATTTATATATATATATATATATATGATAGCCCGTTTATACATATATATAAATGTCAACAAATCGGGCAGACTGACATACATTATTTTAAAACTACACTATAGGTATATTGTATACCTATATCGTACATAGGGAGGAACCCTTGCGAAGCGAGGGTGAATAGCTAGTTGTTATATAAAACCGAAATAACAAACTTATTTTTTGTTCCACAATACACAAACGATCCAAACAACTAAAGACAGAATTAGCTCAAGAATCGAGTTCAACGTTCGTCTATTCATTACAACCAACAATACCTACTAGGCACTAAAACATAAATAAAACAAATCGATATTACTTGTAGTTCACCGTTGAATTTTACAAGCATTCTTCGAAAAAGGTAAAATATACCAAATATATAAAGTAAAAAATAATTGTACGTACAATGTACATAATATTTACTAGCTCTTTTAATACATCTATACTAATACTATAAAGAGGTAAAGTTCGTGAGTTTCTGACGTTTTAGGGTGTAATCTCTAGATCTACTGAACCGATTTAGATGAAATTTGGTAAGAAATAATTTGAGACTTTGGAAAGGGCATAGAATACTTTTTATCCAGGAAATCATCCCTTAAGGGGGTGAAAATGGGGATGAAAGTTTGTATTGAGAAGCAAGCTAGGGACGAACCCGAGCGAAGCAAGGGCGAATCGCTAGTGCATAATAAAATTGTGTGTGGGTCAAAATCGTATATATTGAACATTTTTGAAACCTATGTGGGAGGGTTATTAATAAATTACGATATTATAAACTTTGGTTTTTTGTAAACCGACTTCAAATAGGAGAGGGCACTTATTCGATATATTCGTCAATTGTGCATCGATTTTCATTTTTCAAAAGGAAAAAAGGAATCCTTATCACTTCGTTGTCCGTCCATCCGTCTGTTTGTGAGGTAATAGGTGCAAAAATGAAATACCTCAAGTGACATATAAATATATAATAGGTAGTAAATAGGTAGGTATAACTTCTTGGTAAAAAAAATATGTTTGTCTGTCTGTTATCAGTATCACACACTACTCGGCGACTCAACGGCATACGATTGGAACTTTTTTGACGATTACAACCAAAATTAAATACATAGCTAACTTTAATTTTAATCATTCGTATGCACTATATAAATTGGAGATTAGAAGATGCAAAAAAAAACGCGAGCAAACCCATAGGCTTTAGCAAGATTATCCACAAGAATAACTCTTGGCAACAAATCAATAACCAGTAAAGAAAAGAGGTCAAAAACAACTGATAGGAAAATAGATAAGTGATAAAAACTTTTATTATGGCGAATTGCCCCCTTGAAAAAAGTTAAACGATGACAGAAGTCCGATACCTTAATGGTTCTTTTACTTGGATTACGACAAAGTTCTAAAACAAGAATTAGGTACCTACTTACCAACCAATATTTTTATAAATATTGGTAAAAATATAATTTGGGTAATATCGAAATAGAAACATGGTGGGACGTCTGAAGTGTTATTAATTTAGTACACATGCTCTACAAGGAGCGTTGGTTTTATAATAATTTTTGATAGTATTTTCTTAGATTTTCCCGATTATTTGACATTTTAAACGAAACTATCTTCTCGAAATTTTTTCGGGGTTTAATTTATATTTTAGTTCCACTTTACTTGTCTGGTTAAGGAACATGCGGGGAAGCAAGCACCAAGATCGTTAACCAAGCAAGGGGGAATAAAATAGTACCGCAACAAAATTCGAAAAGATTTCATTTAAAACACTTTAATAGCTTGGTTTGTTTTCATCGCTTCTAAAAATTCTAACACTTAGATAATGTGTCTCGAATACGTCCTTGAGTACTTTAAAATATTCATATTGATAACTAGCCGTACCCGCACATTGTAGGCTCACAAGAAAATCGTAGAAATAAATTTATTACATTACTTTTTAGTTTTTACAAAGAAGATAAGCTGATTTCAAAATAATTTAAAATTAAACAATTAAAAGAATAATGTGCAGAACCACCCTTAGGTGTGTATATTTGTTTTCATCTATTTATCTGAAACTACCCTTAAGATAACCTTTAGTAAAACAAAATCATGAAAATCAATTCACAATTGGCAAAGACTTCTGAAACGTCTAATCTTTATCGATCTATACTTACATGTAATCTTAATAAAGAAATAAATGAGTCGAATCTGTACCGATGAAAATGACGATTTAGTCATAATTATTGATACAGAGTCCGAATCTGTAGTGTTTAGAATTTTTGTCTGTCTGTCTGGGAACGCATGACGAGAAAACCACTGGACAGATTTTGATGA